CAATAGACGATTTGCGGGTTTGGTATACATTACAGCGGTGCTAAACGATAGTTTTTTTCAGACACTGTGGGGCGGTGGATGAGCCGCACGAAAAACGTATGGGTATGGATTGTAAGCAGGAAAAGAAGAAAGTGGTAGGGCGTTTGATGGGACCACAGTTAACTAACGGATAAGCGGCTAGTATTTTAAATTAACATCATTCAATAAATTATGAAGTTTTATGAAATTTTCTTATATGTGATAATATTTAGCTATCAGCTAACTAACTCGCCTAATAGGAAAATGTCCAATTAGTTGATAAGAAGATAAATTTTCTATCGATTTTTCAAAACAGAACTATTGTTTAACGCAACATTATTTATTCGTATTTGTAATCGAATGATCAACGACGAGAAAACATGCGTTGATTAGTTAGAATATTGAATCGTCGTCTGTTTACTTGTTGTATTTACTTATTTATTTTTCAGTTGTCTCTTATAGTTTCGCTCTAAAGCACTGTGAAATTGGAGACAAACATTAATCGAACGTTTCTCTATGAGACTTTAATTTTGTCTGAGTCTCTTTGATCAATTCCTCTTTTAAAACAGACATTAAAAAAATATTGTAGTAAACTTTTTCGTTAGACGCTTACAGATATGTTCTTCTGATTTATTTGAATAAATGGAATTTTTTTTTATCATGTACTACCTATTTTGTGTTTGGATGCTTTTTATGTTCCAAATATATCATTTTGATAGGCTTTCCTTTGAACTTTTTTATTTTTATTTCAGATCAGTTGTTGCAGGATGCCCAAACAAAACGATGACATTGGGATGGAAGAGAACAATAATCTTATGGAACCAGAACGCGTATTTGTTCATAAACTTGTAGATGCAAGCAAAACGCAACGTAATCGTGCCATTGAACGTCTGAAAAAATGGATAAATGCTCGTACATTGAATCCAATTAATTACTTTCAATACGATGAACTAATCAACATTTGGAAAGGTCTCTATTACAATATGTGGATGTGTGACAAACCAGTTATACAGGTACTATTTGCTATCATTTTGATTGAATCGTTAATTTTCGATAATATGTGTAGGATGAACTAGCACAACAAGTTTCATCATGGGTTCATGAATTTCATAATGAAAAACAAGCACAATTGTATATTCGTGCAGGATTTGAAACATTTGTTCGTGAATGGTGGGGTATTGATCAATGGAGATTGAGTAAATTCATGACAGTAAGCATTATACTTGACGAATCAAAACATTTCTCTTACATGAAGTTTTGCCTTTTCTAGTTCGTTCGATACTTTCTCCAACAATCATTTAAATTTTTGAAACAACAAAATTGGCTGAAAAAATATATTTTGAATTTTACTCGTATGTTGAAAGAAGGATCACTCAATCCGAATAAAAATCAGTCAGCTAATGGTAAAGTACCACTAGTGTCCTAAAAAATAATATTGTATTATTTCAATTTTTTCTTTTAGGTTTAAAAATGCATTTGATCGATATTTATCTAGAAGAATTGGCGAAAGTTGGAGGAACAAGTTTAAAACCGAAAAAATTAATCTTGTTATTATCACCATTTTTTAATATAATGAAAATGTCTGAAAGGTATATATTTTCAGATAAGAATTAAACAATCAATCTATACTTTTTTTTATACTTTATTTTAGTGAAGTTCTAGTGAAACATGTATACAAAAGCTTATTTATACCCATAATTCAATATTCTGATGTTGGTATCGACCCTGAAATTGAAGAAGAAATGGAGTTAGTTAAACCATTTGGATTACAAACTGGTGAAGCAGAACTTGTTGATGATAATAACGAAGATGAAGATGCAGCACTACAAGTAAGTGTTGGAAAAAAACGAATAATTTACTTTCCAAACTATGAGTTTAAGTTGAACATTGAAGTAATCGTAAAACTGGAAATTATTCATTATTATTTGATGTTTTAAGGTTCTTTCTTCAAGGTTTATCTGTGTGTGAACAGAGAACGCGTTGATCTAGTTATCCTTCATGTGTTTTTAGTTTATCTCGAACATTTTAAGTGTGTTATATTTACTATTATTTTGTTGTTTTAGTTCGATTATAAATTATTATCAGAAAAACTGTTAAAAGTTGCAAAAGTCGAATCTTGTAATCAAAAACGTCGAAAGCTACTATACGATTTAGCGAAAAAGTAAGAAAAAACTATGTTTTTCTCAAAGTACAAAGCATTTTTTTCATTCTCTACTTTGAAAGATTTGATGTACTATCACGAGGAATATATCCTTTATATGATATGAAAGTTCCAGCCGTATTTGCATCAGAACAAGAGGCATTCGATTTAGACATCAAAGTATGTATTGACATTTTTTATAATATTAGCCTTTATGTACATTCTGTTTTTGTTTCAGAGTTTAAGAGAATTACATCGGGAAGTTGGTGAAATTTGTCATAAGAAAAAGAGTGAGAGAAATCCTGAAGAAATTGAAGAAATTTTAAAAAAACACAATGTAAGACTAGAAATTTTTGAGGAATACTGAATGAATTAACATATGCGCTTGTGTCTTATATTTTAGATAACAAAAAAGAGGCAAAAAACACGTCGATCAAAAGCGAAGAAGCAGACTCAATAAATCTCATACCTTCTTGTTGTTTCATTTGCTTTTTCTTGTGTTTTTGAATTTGTTTAAATATATGTTATTTTATGATAAACGAAAAGAAAGATATATTTACGTATGATACACATTTGAGTTGTTACAGTATTTATCCGTAATTGATGGAAGCTTCATTTATCTGATTTGACAATGTTTTCAACAATGACAAAAAAAAAATAAGGGTTTAAACAAATACATTTTAGAAAGAAGCAAAAATAATTGTTCAATCACGTTTTCTCGAAAAGAAGTTAGCTAGTGGCGGATTATGTGTGAGAAAATGCAAGGAATGTTAGGACACAAATAATTAAATAATCCGATTAACGATTAATATTGTTTTTAAATGATAAAAAATTTTCTATTTTCAATGTAACAAGTCATTTCAATTTATCGTCTATTATATTAAACTCTTTTGCGAGTTTTTATCGTGCATGAAATATTTGAGTATGTCAAGGGCGATGTCCAAATCATGATAATCTGAGATCTTAATTCTAAATAACTTGAATACAAACAGCGTCTGTTCTGAGTAGCTCACCTTAATGATGAATGTAAGTTTACTTATTACTTTAAATAAATAAAACCGCTCCAATCGATCATCGTTTGTAAAGATGATTTACCTTCAATATCAAATATTTTATTAATGAAATAGAGTGAAGCGTGAATATCTGTGATATTACTACATATTACTTGTAAATCTAATTGTAAAATAGTTTCCGTTTCCTTCGACCGATAAAATTGTGGTACACTTGAAGACTCATTATGAAGGTTTTTCAATCACTATTTACGTTTTTCAGCTTTTAAAATCATTTTCATAAGGTGTGTTTAAGCATGAGTGGGAAAAACCAAGGCCACAACAGTTCTTTTGATTAAACCGCTCAGTAAAAGACTGTTGAAGATAAATTGTATACATATGATAAAGTGAATTTGGTTGAATAAAACGTGCGATCTGAAGACCCTCTAAAATACGGTCTGTTACATGTGATTTGGCTTTCACGCTTCGGGAATTCTGTACAATTTTGTTTCACCTTTATCGTAAGATACTCGATGTATCTGTTAACATGAGGATTGGATAAAACAAAAAAGGTATAAATAGATATGCCTCTATAACAGAATGATTTATTTTGTCTGTTAAAAGCTATATAGAGTAACAATTACGATATCAAACTTGGATTATTAAAGTAACGTTAAACTTCAACAATAAAATAGTGTTCAAAATTCTTTGGGTAAGTCATTGAAAAAAATACAAGTTAAGTTATAGAATTAATACGTTTTTTATTATTCAAAAAGAAATTATAATAATAACTTGATTGATAGTTTTTGTATGAACGAATATTATGGGGTGAAAAAAGGCGAAACGGATTGATACTCCTAATAATCTTAATAAACAACCACCGGTAGACACCGTTCTAGTCACATTCGATATGGAGAAAGCCTTTGACAAAGTTCCGTACCAATTAATCATTTCTCGTTTGTCAGTGTTAGGTCTATCTCAAACAACCTTACAATGGTTTACGAACTACCTTTCCAACCGTTTCCAGCAAGTAAGAGTTGGCTCTAAACTGTCTATGCCAACCCCCGTAGTATCCAGAGTAGTACAAGGCTCCACCCTTGGCGCTCTGTTATTCCTAATATTCATTAATGATCTTCCTACCGTTGTAGACCTACCGGCTGATACTATCCTCTTTGCCGATGATTGCACCCTCATCTGCCCTATAACAGCGACAAGCACATATCAATTCTACCAGAGTAACATAAACAAAATCAGTGACTGGTGCAGCTTCAATCTTATGACTCTAAACTCGTCAAAATGCGCGTGGATGTTCGTTTCCAATAGCCCTGATAAAGCAAATAATTTCAAATTTACCTTACCGGATGGCTCTAACATAAAGCGCGAGGAAAGCCTTATTCTACTAGGGCTCGAAATAAGCTGTAAACTGAG